AGGAAGAAGCGTTCTTCATCTCCCTCCTGGACGAGGATTTTCTTCAGTGCTTCTTCACTTTTCCCAACTGGCTCCTTGCCGACGTCCTCTAAGACTTCCACATCTTTGTCTTCGATTTTTGTCCTCTCTGGTTCTCGTATGCTGCAGGTGGATTTCATTACTGCCATGAAGTAATTCTTTGCCTGCAGCTGATCTCCTCTGACTTCTTCTATCCCATGCTCTGTCAGGAATCGCAATAGTTGATGCAATGTTGAGGGAACAGCCCTCATTTCATGTAACCATGGCCTTCCTAGGATAGCATTGTAAGGGGAGGGCGTGTCGATTATGGTGAACTCTGTTTTTATCTTCCTGGTGCCAACCTGCACCTCCAAGCTCGTTGTTCCTAGTGGCCACGTCGGCGTTCCATTGAACCCGACCATTGGGCTATTGTATTGCTCCATATCGTCTGGGTGAAGGCCAAGCTCCTTGTAACACCTGATGTACATGATGTCACAAGAGCTGCCTTGGTCGATTAGGATGCGTTTCACTTGGCACTCACCAACCTTGAGGGATACTACCAAGGCATCATTGTGGGGATGTTGGACCATCTCAAGGTCGGCTTCAGTAAAAGACACTGCTGGTCTTTGGTACACTTCGGCACGATGTCGTTTTTCCCCGACCTGGTACACGTGCTGCAAGTGTTTTACCCTCTAGGTTTCCCCCTTTATTTCATTTTTGTTGACCTTTGAGCGAATTACATTAATTACCCAAGGTTCTCCTGCCTGTGGTTACTGTGCTGGGGGAGGCGGAGCTGCTGGTGCCTGAGGCAGTCTTGCCTGTTCTTCCCTTATCCTGGCCTCATCTACAAGGTCCCTTAAATGGCCTTGCCTTACCAGGTCTTCCAGGTGTGCTTTCAGGGCTCTGCAACCCTGAGTCATATGCCCATCTTCGTTATGGTAAGCACAATGCTTACCAAGGCTTCTTCCCATAAATTCTCTTGGCACCCTAGCTGGTGCTCTGAAATGGGGCTAGGATCGGATTTTGTCCAGGACTTTGTGGATTGGGATCCGGAACACAGTTGTGACTGCCTATGCAGCCCTCAGTCCTACCTCTTTGTTGGATCCGTTGTTACCTCGGCCTCACTTCGGCGAGCCATTACCTTTCTTTTGCTTTATCTCCTTAGTTCCTGACGTGTCTTCCTCGGCTCTGGCATACTTCTCGATTCTGGCCATGAGCTCTTCCATGCTTTTTGGCAATGTCTTTGCCAAAGACTTTCGTGGTGGACAGTCGTCTTTTAGGCCGTTCTTGAAAGACACGACCGCCACCTCTTCTTTGCACTCGGGTATTCGGTTGAACACCTCATAGTACCTTTTTATATAGGCCCTAAGGCCTTCATCCTTACTGATTCTCAGAGCCATCAAAGCATCCACCCTTAATGGCTGTAGCTTGTTTGTCACGAACCTAGCCACAAACATCTCGACCAGGCCTTCCTAGGTCTTCACACTTCCCTTTGGCAGTTTGTGAAACCAATCTGATGCAATCTCCCCGAAGGATAAAGGGAACACTTTGCAAAGCAGTGGCTCGTTCCCACTATACAATGCCATTGAGTTCAGGTATAATCCAACTTAAAGGTTAGGGTCTGACTTACCATCGTATATTTGGAACCTCGGCATACTAAATCTCTTTGGAGCCTCAAATTTGTCCAATTCCACCGAGAATGGTGTTCTCGGCTAAACATGTGAAGTTACCTCGGCATCGGCATTATGTTGTTTCCTCTTGAGGTAATCTCTCAAGTCTTCTTTGCTCCGCCCAGGTGCTCGGCTATCTCCCGACTTCAGTCTTTTCGGCATACTACTCTCAGCTTCGTTGTGGGCCCTTTTCGACCTTGCTTTATGAGTTGTGTCGAAGCACAGCTCCTGCCTTTGAACATACCGATGTTCTCCGGGGCCTGCTTCTTTAGTGCGATGTGTCCTCCGTGACTCTTCTCTCCTCGACTCTCCTCGCCCGACCTCCCTGGAAGGCCAGTGAGAGTGTTTTTCGCTTCTGGTGTGTTGAGGGGCTATTGGGATTGGTTTCTGCCTCCCTTCTGGGCATTGGCCGCTGGAATTGGCGTGTCCTACAGCGGGAATGGTAGCTGCATGATGTTATTTTGCATCATAAAATTGACGACCGATTGCAGGTCTGCCAACTTGTTTGCCATCTCTTTCATCTCTTCGCCCTCCGCAGGTATCTATCCTTCCATACCTGGAGGTCATCCTCGTTGTAGTAACCGCTTCGATCTGGTTTCTTTGGCACGTCGCCATCTTGGCCGACGTCTTTCTTGCCGTGATTCTGGTTCTGAGTCTCCTCATTGCGACCATCTTCCTCCATATTAGGATCAATGTGCTTATCGTTCCCAGTAGGGGTTTCGTCCCCAACCTTATCCTTCTATCCGTCGCTGGCCATCTATTCTCCTTTCTTTCCCACAGACGGCGCCAAATTGTGTGTGTCAATTTCTGACCACACTGCTAACTTAGTATTCAGTTGGAGAGCACTGGCAGAATAGATGGTGCCTGATTGACCTGCAATAGAAAGAGAAGATTCTGGCGGTGGTTCGTCCACCCGGGGGCACTCCGACAATCAAGTCAGTTTTCTCTCAAAGATAAATCAAGTGCTTAACTCACTATTCAAAATACAAATTGCGTATCTTAGACCCATTGGGGTGCCTCTCTTTTATAGCCACCACTTACCTAATCCCAATAGAAGCCTTGCTTCAATGGACTTTGGATTACTGCTAACCTTGGACTCCCAGTAGGATTGGGATAAATTCTCTAAGAGTCTTATCTTTATCCAAACTGAAGTCTTCTTCCATTCTAGGACTCTTGTCCCTTATCCGCTTATCTCGGATTCCGATATCTTCGGAGATAACTTCGGCCTAGCCGAGATCACCTCAGCGTCGTGACCAGGACACGTGGCACCTCGGTTGACATGTCGGCGTCACCTTGGCCACGTGTTGGTGCTCAGAAAATATATCCCCACACTTGTGATGAAATTTTGATTAGTTAAAAAATGTGAAATCTTTAGGGGTAAGCATGATTCGATTTGGATCGGTTTGGGATGAAATCAGAACTAATTCATTTACAATTTCATAACAATTAGAGCCAAACCAATCCATTAAAATTATGGAACCAATCCGAACCAAACCTTTTAAATACGGTTCGATTGGAAATCACTATTTCAAATAATCTATTCATAGATAACTTTTCAAAACACAAACTTTTATAAAGCATTGTGTTTTGTGGCAATAAGGAAGAAGCTGAGAAATTTGGAGGAACAAGCTGAGAATCTACATATTAAGTAAAGGGGCAGAATACAAAACGGGTCGAATTCAAGCCTTAGGCTGGTCCAATTCGCTAGACCCAAACCCAAGTGGATCAGGCCAATGTATGGGTCAGTCAATCAAGCCAATCTCCATGAAGAATAGTCTTCCCAAATCCTCAAGCACTTGGGCCCAACTCACAATGAAAAGGGCAATCCAACTGCGATGCTGGGCTAGGCCGAGTTGCAGAACTTAATCCATGGACCAAACTGATGGGCCGAACCCATCATCAGAACCAAAGTGGGCTGAACCCACACAAAGATGTCTAAATGGGCTAGCCCATCTCTACAAGCAGTCTTTCGAAAGGCCGAGCCGAGGCACAACATTACTGAGCTGAGGAAACCTCTCAAAGAAACGTAGAAGTTACGAACACATGCACATGATGGCTAAGACCTCAGTTGGTCCCTTTCCCCTAGAATCACGGAAATAATTAACTAAGGCAATGTGATCTGTTATATGCATGGTTATAAAGAGCACATGGATCCATCATCAACTACCTGGTGGTCCCTACCTTGGGCAATACTAGAGGAAGACTTAAAGCACCAAAGTTCCATGAAACCATATTGGGCAACAAGTAAAGTGTTCTATATAAACCTCAATCTCTTCACATTGAAGGTAACAGAACTCATCTAATCCAAACTTATCTCATGACAACTCTACTCACTTAAACACAACTGAACTGACCCTTTCATTTCTTATCTCTGGACCTAGAGAGAGTCCCTTATCTTCTCCGACCACTCAATCCTACACAGGAGGGATTTTTCGGCCAACCCCGGCCGAATAGCTTTGAAGGTGTTCTATGTTTGTAGGTCCTCAGTTCCTGAATAGTCCATTCTATCGCAAAGCTCTAATCCACTTTCATTTAGTGTGGGATTCGATACGTACATTAAGCCTTACCTCCTAGAATAAACAATACAACATGCTCTCTAAGATTCTTATAGCAAACAAGAAGGCATAACTAATAAGTTGAGAATCTATATGTAAGAATCTTGTAGCAAATAAGAAGGCAGTACTCTACATGTAATAAACGAGCAATGGTAAAATAAGTTGATCCACTTTCATCTAGTGAGTATCTTAACCTGAAAAGAAAAGAGAAAAAATGTTTATTGATTTTGTCACAAATAGCAACAAGCAACAGCTTTTTAGAGATAATTACACGATTCGGTTCGGTTTAAATTTAGAATCGTAAATCTAAATCCAGAACTAAACTACTGACATCGATTCTCTAATTTTTCAAATCAAAACCGAACCACAAATTAAAAAATTGGTCTGAATTGATTCGGTTTGCAATTTTTTCAATTTTCTTCGTGAACCCTGCCATAAGCATTAAACTAGTATTATTCTCAGAGCCCACATGAATGGGCAACAATATCCAGCCCTAGTCACAGCTTTCCTAGAAAAATAACATATGGGCTCTCACAATATTGAGGGCCATTTCAATTGATCGGCCCAGCCCAGGAAAAAAGCATCCAAAACAGTGGAGCAAAAAGCTAACTCAACCACGGTTGAAATAATCTAACTATAGTTAAGTCCTGCCTAAAACGACAGTGGAGCAAAAGGGAAGGATCGGTCAAACCAAGGGCCAAGAAATTGACACGTGGACGGTCACAATTCTCCTCAACCGACTCACGCTATGTTATGTCAATATTAGGTTGAGATTACGATTAGGGTTTCCTTACAGATCTCATTCATCCTTCGATTCTCTTCTTCTCTCTGCGATCTCTCTGCAAATCTCTCTCTCTCTCTCTCTCTCTCTCTCTCTGAACTCTGATTGGATCTTCTGTGTTCGATCATGGAGATGGAACGTGTGATCGAGTTTCCACACACGCACATGGATCGTCGTCCCAGAAAGAGACCGCGTTTGGGTTGGGACGTTGCTCCTCAGGCCCTTAAGGTATCAGATCTGTTCCCTAGATCTCTGATTTCATAATTTTTTTCCTCTTTTTTTGTTTCTATTTTGCTAGATCTGGTCGAAATTAGATACGTGGTAGATCAGGTATGAGAAAAGGTTTATGCTTTTATGTTTGATCGATTTTTATTGGCTAATTCGTTGTAGTTTCTTATAGATCTGTAAATTTCATGTTAGATCTAGTTTGGAAAAAGGTTTTTTTATTTATTTATGTATGATAGATTTTTATTGGGTAATTCGTTGCAGTTTTTTTTTTTTCTGTGATCAGATCTGCAAATTTCAAATACCTCTTTTAAATATCTGTGAAAAAGTTTTGCTTAGATCGTGATTTGTTGACAATATTATTCTTATTTGACCACTAATTTTATGATTCCATAGTTTTAAAGTGCGTTCAAGATTTTTTGCTGTGGTTTGAGGTGATTTTGCTTAAAAATTTCGGTTTTTTGGTGGGCCTAATCTAATATATTTACTAAACTTTCCCTTCATCATAAGGTGGGTTGTTTTGGATCTGTTCTATTTAGATGATACATGAATGTTTCACTATATTTTCTTATGAGAATATCTAGTATTGGGTGAAAATCCCTTTATATCAAACCCTATATTTTGATGTAGATGTTGTTGATCTGTACTAATTTTTTTAGGTTTAGTAGTTTTCCCCCCTTATTCATCCATTCAATAGTCATGTCATTAAACAAAATTTATATCTTGAAATTTTTTGTGGAGCTATATTGGAAATAGAGAAATGTAATCATCGGAAACAAAAAAATTATGCTTGTTTGATTTGTTACCGGAGGAGGGTAATCTTTGCGGCTAAAATCACAGTATCAAAATTAGGATAGTACGATGGCATTTGAGTCTGTAAATTTGTAAGCTTGATGTGTTCCTCTTTCTTTCTTTTTTTTTTAAATAATTGATTTGATTAGCTAATGATGATATAGAATAGAATTATTTCTTATTTTTTGGTTTTGTTGAAATTTATATTGTTTTTTTATTTTTATGTGATGAAGTTTCATTGGTTATTATTTTGATATGATTCTGATGATTAGTGAAGTGTGTCGTAAAGGCTCTAATCCATCAAGAGGTAAAACAAAATTATTTTATATTGAGTGGAACATGAATGAATACCTGTGTGTAGGCTCAGCTAGGAATGTTTTGTGCACAAGAGGTTGGGAATGTGACAAGCTTTGCAACTTCAAGGGCACCCTCAGACCATACTAGTTCCTCTTTGTTTGTTAAGGGAGTGGCTCGAAATGGTTCTCCCCCATGGCGAGAAGATGATAAAGATGGACATTACATATTTGCGCTTGGCGAAAATTTAACTTCTCGCTGTAACTACACTACCATCACCAAAGATATTTTCATTTTTCAATTCACTTGATCGTTTTGTGAACTTTTTGAAGTAACTAAAATGAACATGCACCACCATTGCTTTTTTTTTTTTTTCATTGATGTGGTGGTGCTATCATTAAATAGGGCTTTTGCCTTATAAAGTTTTTATGCAAGTGACTGAAAGTCATAAGTTGGCTTTCTGATGTGACCTATTGAAATCCTTTTAATAGCAACTTTTGCATTTGATTATAGCTCTACTTTTAAGGATATATGTATAATTTTTTAATTAAACAAATCCAAGGCATTATTTTTGTCTCAAAACTCATACTAAGCAGGTTGTTTGATGTGTCTAATATTGTTATATTAATTTCTCTTCATTAGATTCTTATTTGTTTCTGATTGTACTTGTGTTGCTTTGTTGTTTGGGTGCAGATAAGATCCATAGCAAGATGGGCGAAGGTATTTCTTAATAAACATATTTCTATTGTACTATTTCTGAAGTTTAATTTCAGGCTCATCTCATGTCCTGTTTTTGTTGATCTATATTTTATATAGGCACCTTTGGCCAGGTGTTGGAATGTTGGGACAGAGAAAGGAAGGAAATGGTTGCCATTAAAATTGTTCGTGGTATTAAGAAATATCGTGAAGCAGCTATGATAGAAGTTGAAGTATTGCAACAGCTTGGGAAACATGATAAGGATGGCAACCGGTGAGTTTTATTTCATTAGTTTAATGTGTTTCAATCTCTCACTGCTATTCCTCATGCTTTGGTGGGATTTTGTAAATTTTGTGTCAGTGGTTAAATGGGTTTATTCCTTGCAGTTGTGTGCAAATAAGGAACTGGTTTGACTATCGTAACCATATCTGTATTGTAAGTATATAATCGATTTGGTGGGTTAAATTCCCCAATTTCAAGAATGTTTTGGGGTTAAGACTTGTGGATGGATTCAAATGGCTTTAACAGGTGTTTGAGAAGCTTGGACCAAGCTTATACGAATTTCTACGGAAAAACAATTATCGCTCATTTCCAATTGATCTTGTCCGTGAGATTGGCAGACAACTGTTGGAATGTGTAGCATGTGTGTAGTAATTACTTGGACCAGTTTCTTTAAATTCATCATATTATTTTTATCCATTTTCTGTTTTTACTAGGTTTGGTTGGTGATAGATGAAAGCTAAACATTAATTCACTTCAATTTTATTTTTAAGCTGCAAATTCTTTTACACAGTTCTGCTAAAGATTTTTATATTTCGTTAGCTTCCTCATCACTTGCATTAATATTTGGCTTTATTTCTCAAATTTGCAGTTATGCATGATTTGCATCTTATTCATACGGATTTGAAGCCTGAGAATATTCTTCTAGTGTCTTCAGAACATGTTAAAGTTCCAGATTACAAGGTAATGTATTATTAGGTGGTTATTTGAATCTTTCTTCTTCTTGTCTATGTATATTGTACATGATGTATAGTGGACTTTCTAATGTTAACTTGTGTTGAGACCTTATCTTGTATGCTATGTGAACAGGGTTCCTCACGATCGCCAAAGGATGGTTCTTACTTCAAAAAAGTGCCAAAATCAAGTGCCATCAAGGTAATTGATTTTGGCAGCACAACTTATGATCGGCAAGATCAGAGCTACATTGTATCAACTCGACATTATCGGGCACCAGAAGTAATTCTGGGTATGCTATTTTCAACTGCTATGGCTTCTCTTCCACGTTTTTCTGATTTACCTTCAAGACTGGAAGATATATCCGATTAGTAAAATTTTTTTATGATTTTCCAGGGCTTGGGTGGAGTTATCCTTGTGATGTTTGGAGTGTTGGTTGCATCTTAGTGGAGTTGTGCTCAGTATGTTTTGATGATGCTTGTACTAGTACTTTGGTAGCCATAAATGATTTTTAGAGCATGTTTTATTAACATTAAATTCTTTGTGCAGGGAGAAGCATTGTTTCAAACCCACGAGAATTTGGAACACCTTGCCATGATGGAAAGGGTACTTGGTCCTCTTCCCCAGCACATGCTAAAGAGAGCAGAGTGAGTTGATTTTAAGAACCTTGTTGCTTTTTAGTTTTCTTTTCGAGTCACAGCCGTTTCATTTTGTTGATCAATGTTCTAATATGTACAACCTTGTAATCATTTAGTCGTCATGCGGACAAGTATGTCAGAAGGGGGAGATTAGATTGGCCAGAAGGTGCCACCTCAAGAGAAAGCATCAAGTCCGTTCTAAAGCTTCTACGCCTTCAGGTTTGTACATAATTTTACAAAGTCAGATCACTTTATTTTTTCGAGTTACAGATTGTCTTAAACCTTTTTGATTTGCCATGGCAGAACCTAATTATGCAGCATGTAGACCATTCAGCAGGGGATCTGATACATCTCTTGCAAGGGTGTCTGAGGTATGATCCGTTAGAGAGGTTTACTGCACGGGAGGCCCTAAGGCATCCTTTCTTTACGAGAGACCATCTAAGGAGGACATAGGTGTTGTGTTGGTAGAGAGAGCTTTGAGCTTGCAAAATGGAGTCTCAGCTGTTGCAAACGCTGGTTGGGAAAATGATGAGCATTGTTCTACTCAATTCGTCTCATCTTTGTTGCAAAGAATGTACAGTAGTTTGGTGGGATTAATTTAACCTCCCATCCCAATCAAGTTGCCCTCCACATAGATTTAGGGTCTATTAGTTTGTAAATACCTTTGGTCAAAAATGAATCTTTTGTCGATTGGAACCCATATCTGAGTTTTTTCAGAATCTGATTATTTGTTATGCAATTTGGTTTTCGGCGTTGGTTAAAAAAAGGAAGTGGTTGGTTTAATTTTTAAATTAATTTTTGGATTGAAGAATCAAAAAATAATTTTGGTTCGTCATTTTTTAAAAAAGTTTTCAAAATTGTTTTTTTCTTTCCTTTCTCCTTGTTTCTCTTTTTTTTTTTTTTATACACATCAATCAATTTTCTTTTTCTCCTCACATTTTTTCACATTTTAAAAATCAATTAATTAATTTTTCTTACATTTGGTCAATTATAAAAAAAAAATTATAAATTATTTTGTATTGTTCTTTTAAAATTAAATTATAAATTATTTTGTATTGTTCTTTTAAAATTCTTAATTAATTAAGTTTTTATTTTTTTAAAATATTTATCTTTGGAAATATAATTGAATATTTTTTTAAAAGTACAATTCAAGGTTTTGGTAGTATTTTTTAAATATGATTTGAGAATAGAGTTATATATTGAGTTTGTGAGTTTTGAAATTATAATTGGAGTGTAGAAAATTTGTTTGGTTATAAGTTTTGAAAAAAAATTTTGATTTGAATTTTGAATATTTGATGTGATTTGTGAAATAAGAAAATTTGTTTAGTCATGAGTTTTAAAAAGATTTTTTAAAACTTAATTTAAAAAGTTATAATTCATAACTAAAAAAATAACTTAAATTTCTACTAAAATTTTTGATCTAACACATAATTAAATTCTTTTTAAAATTCAATTTAAAAAATTAATTAATAGAAGATAACATTAAAAAATTATTAATTGAAAATAATTTGAAAAGTTAACTCATAACCACACATGCAATTCAAAATTTTATTAAAATTTTTATTCAAAATTCATAATCAAAATCTTTTTAACATTCAAATAAAAAAATAATTTTTATATTTAACAAATATAAAAAATAAATATAATTTTTTTTTCCTAAATAACATGTGGTGATTGGCAATTGGAAAAAAAGAAAAAAAAAAGGAATTGTTCCAGTCAACCAGCCGACATCCGGGGGATGTCCGAGGGACGATCGAAAGCGTAAATTCAAAAATCAAAAACTAATGCTGCCAAACAAGCATTGGATTGTGTTTTCAAATGTGACGTTATGGGGGACGTCCGAGTAGACTTAAAATGCAAAAATATTTTGCCTTTTAGAATGAAGAATACGAAAAAGAGAAAGTAACCAACCATGAAAGAGAACTATATTTTAAAATATATGATAAAATTACATTTTGAAAGCTCTATCCATATATAAAATACAAATGAAAAGACGAAATTATATTTTCACAACACAACTACAAGCCTATGTTTCTCTGCAACACCTCTTACCTTTCTAGCAAAAAGTGGATCTATTTGCATATTCCTCTTTGGAGATAACAACATGAAAAGTTAGCTTGGTACGACTTGTCTCAGAAAAAATATGGAGTAAATAAAGTTGAGTTGAGAGATCTTGAGGGTCTTTTATTATTATTTATATATTTACAGTTCCTAAAATAAATATTTTTCTCACTAGGTACATTAATGCTAAATATTAATCCAAGTAGCTGTTAAACTCTGATTCCATTAATGCAAATCCTTCTAATGTCTTTGATTTTGACTTTTGTAATGATTTGATCCAATTAAAAATGTCTGTTGATTTTTTTGGTCGAAACCATGCATGTGAGCTTTACTTCTAATGGTAAAATTGTAAATTTATTTTTTAAAATTCAGTGAGTTAATTCATTCAAAAGGCAAACTCTGGGGGACGTATTTTTGAGGTCATGTCACGTGATCGAGGTGTGGTCGATGTGTTGGTCAATGTGTCATGTAGACGAGTCAGATTGTCGATATGATTGTGGTATTACCCAGATATAGTGTGATAATACCAAAATCTGAGATATTTAGATAGATAATAAGAGTCCTAGATAAATGAGGCGTTTAGTTCGAATAGGGATGATGCTCTTGTGGAGTTCATCCATATCTAATTAAGAGTCCAAGATAAACGTTGTGCTTGAGTCCTATGAAATGAGACTTCTAGGGGATGAGGGCACTGTTTGCTATAGAAGTAAGACACCTCGTGGGTCTAAGGTATGTTTTTACTTGTGTACTGAATACTTGATTTGATATCTTTGAGAGATAAGTGACTAACTTGATTGGCGGAGTGTCCCTGGGTGAACGAGCTACTGTAGTATTCTTGTCTTCTTGTTGGCATGTGTTTGGTTTAATCTATTCTGTCGCGTACTCTCCAGCTAAGTTCCCAGTTTGGTTGTGAGGTTGGAAATCAACACCCACAATTTGGCACTATCTGTGGGAACTTAGTAGGAATATATGGCCAACACCGGACAAGTGGTGAGAGTCGGGGATGACATGCATAATGAGGAACAGGAGTACGTAGATCCCAACACTGGAGTGGGAAACAATGACAAAGAAGTGCAAGAAGCAAATCTTGAGGCCAACAACATTGCAAGGGGTCGTAATGGCCCACGAAAAGGCAATCGGGAAGAATACTATAACGAAAGTGACTGCTAGGTATGGAAAGAAAGATGCCTGAGAAGAGACAACAAGTTGAAGGACATGGTAAACAAGTTAAAGGATCTGCAGATCATGGTGAATTTTATGATGCAGAGCAAGGTGATGCAGCTGAAGTTGCCTTTATCGGAAACGCCGACCCTAGCAGCAAACACCAACACCCAGAAGGAAGGATTGGCTACAGTGCCAACAATCCCTCAGCATGAGAAGAGACCAGGGACTTCACATCGACGATCCCAGAATGCCGGACAGATAGAGTCTCGGCAGGAGGAGTCCCAAACAACCCTGAGGACCAAGGAAACCCAGGTTAGGGGATCTCGACAGGTCCACGAGCAAGGCCTTTACTTTGACGACGTGGCAGACGTGGAGAATTCCAAAAAGATGAATCCCAACATAGAAAGCAGTGCACCAAAGAAGCTGAAGTCGATCGATAGCCGAGCTCCTAGACGGTCAAAGGAAGACTTGAGAGACTACCTCCAGCGAAAGAGGCAGGACGCCGAGATCACATCCAATGCACAGTCGAAGACACCATTCTCGGTGGAGTTAGATGCGTTTGAAGTGTGTAAACACCCCATTTTTTACGGCCCTTACAACTTGGACACCATCGCTTGCACACCCGATGATGAGTCTAGACACTTGTCAAGTGCTCGAAGTCCTCAGTGGAATGCCACAGCTCTGAACCTTTCAAACCTTATACCCCTATTGCCTTGTTTTTTAGCTAAACCCAGTGTTTTTCAAGCCTGCAACCCTTGGTGGCCTACTGGCCACCCTTATGGGCTTCCGGCCATCACTCTTGGTTGCTGGCCACTTATGTTTATATTGCCTGTCAGCCACCAGTGATGGCCGGTCGGCCGGCCACTAGTGTCTTTTACAGATATTTTGTGACAGTTGTGCCAACTATTTGCACAAATGCTTGCATCTGCTCTCACGTGTAGGGCTGGATGTTCTTGAGGAAAATTCATGTTTTCTATATATAGGAGGGCTCTTTCTCATGTTTTAAGGTTAAAAAAAATTTAGAGTAAATTTTTTTTCTCTCTTTACAATTCTCTCTCTCTCTCTCTCTAGCAAATTTCTATACTTTAGCCTACATATCCTTCATCTTTGCCTATAGACCCTTAACCAAATGTCACGACTCACTCCCCGTACCCAAGGGTTAAGTATCGTGATGCCCAGTAACTGAAGTAACCGCCGACCAATTCTTGAACAAATTAATAAACGCAAGCGGAAATAATATTTAAGTGAGGGTACCAAAATAATTATCGGATTTTCTATTTTTATTATAAAATTTATTGACCAAAAGGCCGATATTTATATATATAAATGTCATAAAAGTGTTGTGTGTGTCTATTTTGCAACCCCGCGTCTAAGACTTTGCAAAAGCTATTTCTAAATTACATTGTTTCCTAAAAATTGGTAAACAAATATAAACGCATGGCAGAGTGAGAAATATTATGCCAAGAGTATAAGGGATACAAAATAACCATGGATAGTTATGTAACTAAAATATTAAGATAACTTAGTCTGAACAAATAATCATTTAAGTAGCAAAATTGAGATTATGTAAATAAATAACTATAACCACGGTACCAAACAGAACAAAACAGAGGTCACAAGAGTGACAGTCAGAATAGAGGTCACAGGAGTGGCAGTCAGAACGGAGGTACGGATTCAATAGGTTGCTTGTACGGATTATAGAGGTGGCTTCTACAATGGTGTAACACTTATCTCCACACAGCACTTTACTTCGCACAGAACAGAGGTCAATAGATCCATGACAATAGAGGGCCACAAAGTGACCAAACAGAGCCGATGGTTATTTAAGTTCCCCAAAGCATGAGACTCCCGTTGTGGTACTTACAAAACATAATTGTTTATAAGGTTATAGTCAAATATTCTTTAAAATTTAAACAAACATATCCATGGGTTTCATTTTAAACAAATAGGGTTCAAAAATTAATCCACGTAACTGAAATATTTATGAAACATAACTTGTATTAATATAACTAATAAAATACAACTTGTATAAAATAAATTATGGTAAGTCAAAATATACGTAAAATATATTACGGTAACTCAAGGTATAATATAACTCACCTTAAAATTAATACCTCACTATTTCTTTCCATTATCAAAAATCTTCTTAACTTCCAATATTTCCTTCCCCTTTCTTAGTTCATTTTCCTTCCTTTCTCTCTTTTTTTCCTTTTCTTTTCCTACGGCTGATCACCTCCTCTCTATTTATAGAGAGCGTGGCCAACGCGAATCCTCCCACAGATTTGATCATAAATTATATGGATTTATACTTATCTTTAATAAATATTTAAGATAATTACACTTTGGCCCAATTTTCTAATATAACTATATAAATAAATTAATCCCTAATTAAATTACACTATCGTATACCAACAAAAAATTAATTATTTATTTTACTACCACACCCATTATTAATATTATTATTGTTATTATTATTATTATTATTTATTTACTCTTAATTTTATATTTATTTATTTACTATCTTTAACTTTAATTTGGCCCAACTAGTATTATAATTTCATATTTCTGTTAATTTGGCCCCAAATAATAATCCCTAATTAATCCTATATTTGATAATCTAATGCCAAATTAGATTTTGTATTTATTGTTATTTATTTAATAATATATTATCATATACAACCATAATACCAATATGAAATTTAACGGACAACTTAAATTTTCGGGTGATAACACCAAATCTCTTCATCTTTGAGCTGAGATATCTTAGAGCCTTGTTTGAGCTCTTGAGAGAGGGTTTGCTTTGTTTTGTTGCTTGGAATTGATTTTCCCCTTTCAATGTATAAAAATTTGCCTCTTTACTTGCTTTATCCACTATTTTTCTTGCAATTTTCCAACTATTTTTGGGCTATAAAAACTCGGTATTTTTGGGCTAAAGCTTGGATTTTCAGGCCATTAAAGGTTAGGGGGTCGTTTACCCTTCTTTGCACCTTATTTTGAAGGCCTTTTTCCCTCATGTTTCCCATCCTTTTAATATCTTTTTTTGAGCTTTTAAACACTGTTTTTCAAAGTTATTTCAGTGACCAAAATCATGTTTTGAAGTCCAAAATTGGAGGGGTTAGCTTCCCCTCTTTGTATCTTGCTTACTAGCCTAGCTTGTGCCATATTTTAGCATATTAATCTAGCTACTTTTAGCTTAACTTCAACATATTTTAGGACTATTTTTAGACTGTTTTAGCACTATTTTTTAATTGATAGTTGCATTTGAGCTTTGTTTTGCATGCTTATAGTGTAATTGTCCTCAGGAGTTTGGTGTTCTAGGCCTTAGACGTCATCTTGTTTGAGTTGATTGCATTTATTTATGGTGTTCCATACTTGTGATCACTCTTAATCATCTCTGCAACCTCCCCTCCTTTCTTGGCTTTTGTTTTACTTTGAAAGTGGTTTCAAACAACTTGTTTATTTAAGCATGAGATTGAGATGTCATGCTTAATGATTTAATCCCTTTGGGAATTCATCACCAATGGTATGATGTCTTTTTCATGCCTAAAACAACACTTGGTTTGAGTCCTCTTTCCATTAGAGGACTTTAAACTCACCTTTGGACCCAATGAATTAAAGGATGGTTGGTAATTTAAAATGAAGTAATTAAAATAGGACTAAAAGGATGCAAGATAATAATTTGGTTTTGTGTTCATCGGACGTTAATTGAACACATAGAAGCTTGAGGCATTTCATACTCATTAGTGATGAAATGATTCAAGTTTCCAAGGTCACCATTTCCCTTGATCAATTCATGAAAGGAAGGAGGTTAGAGTCTTATTTTGTTGCATTTATTAAATTTGCACACTTTGGTTCATAAGCCATCATGCAATGAAATTGCTTGAGTTGATGGTTTGTGGACTAAGTTTCGTCTCTCCTTTGATCTGTCCATGATAAGGAGGGGTGAATTGTGCAAACATACCCTTGAGAATACCCTATGCATGCTTTGTTTGTTCTCTGTTGCAGCAAGATGAACCCTACAACGGCAGGCCACTTTCCTTAGCCAGCCAGCCACCAATGCAAAATTCAGTAGTGTGTTTTTTGAGCAGAGCAGAACTATTTTGGAAGTGGACAAAGGTGTAAGTGTTCTATTGTGCAACAGAGACCTTCTAGAAGCAAAACAGTGGCTTTTCGGGTGGAAACCGAGCACGTGCATGAGCATTCCTCGCATACCGAGCATGTTTAAGTTTAAATATTTAGTTTAGATATTTGTTGTAATTAATTAGTTAGTTAACTAGTTGTTTGATTTCGTCTTGTAATTATTTTAGTTAACTAGAATAGTTAATTCATTTTTTGTTGTAATAATTAGTTAAGTAGTTTAGCTAATTTAATTTATTTTGTAATAATTAGCTTAGCTTAGCTAGTTAGCTAGTTAGTTTATTCGGACTCTCCTTCGTGAGGGCATAATATTGTAATAATGTGTATGTCTTCTAACCCCATGTATTTCTCTCTTTTATTTACTAGCTTATGTTGGTTAGTTTAGGGATATCATGTTTTGTTTAGCAGACTTCATGTTTGCATCCATTTGTATTGCATATACCGAGGCTGGGTTCATCATTCTAACTTGCATTGTTAGTTTAAATACTTTTTTGAATACATGCTTAGACCGCATGCTATTTAATTGATTCGTGTGCCATATTAGTAGCCGAGCCTAGTATTTGCATATCGCATGTGTTGCATTAGTCATATTGCCTAGTTAGGGTCATGTATTTTTCTAACTCTTTTGTTTATTATTGGCTTGGAGTACTAGGTGAGCCTTTACTCACTTTAGCATAATCGCATGCATGTGATTGTTTGCCATGTTTAGCATGCTTGCCATGAGGTTAATTGCTTAAGTGTTATAACTGCTTGAATACCTGTGGATGAAGGTTAGTTGCTTGAGTTGGAATAATTTGAGTAATGTTCATATGCGATCACTTTTTCAAGTAGTACATATTTTGAAACAAATTTGCAAACAAACATGAATCAAGTGTTCCAATTCTTGCAAGTTAGTCTATACTTGTGTGTATGCGCATCACATAATAATGTTATCCTAAGAAATGGGACAAGAACATATAATGTAAATAAAATTCATATCATGATTAGTAGAGGCCGATCTTTGATCGGGCGAGCGGGGGTGCTCAATTTATGACCTTCCCCTCTCGTACCTAAGTTCCCGAGCCGAGACAATCTTGGTGATGATGGACACGTGGCCTTTGGCACGAGCCATGGGTTTCCTAAATTTTTTGAAAAAATATTTAGGTAGCGACTCTGTATCTAGCAAAGCAGTCCATTTTTGACATTTTTGATTCAAAATCAATTTTCCAAAGATTTGTCGGATTAGGACTCTTTGGTGATTATCTATTTCACATTGCACTTGTGGAATCAGATTTAGAACCACGGGAGTTCGATACTATAGGGCTTATTCGTCTTCCGAAAAGGGGTGCGAAAAAGTCAACCTACAAGGAGCCAAAGAGATTCAGCATACCGAGATTCTAGATCTACGATGGTAAGTCCGACCTAAGCTTCTATGTTGGTCTATACCTGAATGCGATGGCTTTGTAGAGTGGGAATGAACAGTTACTATGCAAGATGTTCCCATTAACATTTGGGGAAATAGCGTCAGACTGGTTCCACAAATTACCGTAGGGATATGTGAAGAGTTGGGAAGACCTGATCGAGATGTTTGTGACTAGGTTTGTTACAAACAAATTATAGTCATTAAGGGTAAACTCCTTATTGGTTTTGAAGATAAGCGATGGCGAAGGCTTAGGCCTTAGGGCTGACGCCAAGAGGTACTACGAGGTTTATAACCGGATCCCAACTTGTAACCAGGAACTTGCGATCGTGTCTTTTAAGATTGCTTGCTCCGGCAATCCCTTGCAAAGACCATCCCTAAGAACATAGAGGATCTCATAACAAGGAATGAGAAATATGCGAGGGCAGAGGAAGACAAGAAAGTGAAAAAAACAGGTGTTGTAAAGCATGAGAAAAGAAACGGCTCACCGAAGCGTAGCCGAGGAAATAATGGTGCCAACAAGCCAGAACCAGGATTGAAGGCTATGCAAGCCGTGAGCACTATTTTCAAGATCCCCGTTTACAGGGTCTTAGAAATCAACCCTACTTTAGGCCACCACAGAAGACCTTAGGGGAGTACATGGGCAGAAACCCTGGGAAGAATTGTGCCTACCATGATGAGAATAGGCACATGACTCAAGGGTACAGAGCCCTGAAACAACACCTGAAAGTTCTGGTCAGACAGGGACACTTGAGAGACTTGATAGATGAAGTGAAGACATGAGAGGAATATGCGAAGTTGACCCAGGCACTTGGAACAGCACCTTCACCCCCGCCACCACAGGCAGATGGACCAGGAGTTATTAACGTGATCTATACAAAAGTTAATGAGAACAAGATCCGAGGTGAGACGTAAAAGGCAAGGCATCTGCAGCATGTTTACCAAGTCCAGTAGAAAAAACGTCGAGTGGAAGGACTTCGGGGGCCGATGATCTCATTCACAGAAGAAAACCTAGATATGGTACAATATCCACATAATGATGCTCTTTTAGTAACACTGAAGATTGGAGAATGCTAGGTAAGGTGCATATTAATAAATTAAGGCAACTCTTGTGGTCTCATGTATGTTAGATGTTACAAGAAACTCGGCCTTCACAAAGACGATTTGGAGCAGTTTGATAGCCCTATGGTTGGATTTAATGAACCCCGATGTGGCCATTGGGTACCACAAACTTGGAGGTTCAGGCTAGAACCAAGATGGTAACCACAGATTTTACTGTGATAGACACTCCCTCCTTGTACAACATTGTCTTGGGAAGACCTTGGCTACACGCTATGAGAGTTGTTCCCTCAACACTGCACCAGTTACTGCGATTCCCAACCGAATTTGGGATTGAGGAGGTAAAAAGAAACCAAGTGCAAGCGAAAAATTGCTCCATAACTGCAATGAAGTACACTTACACTGTTAGAGAGGCGGAGATGGCAGAAGTTGAAGACGAAGACCAGGAGGTCTTGGACAATGTAGGCAAAGAGCCAGCCAACAAGAGCCAAAAACCCTTGAAAAAGGTCCTGGTACAAGAAAGAGACGAAGAACGATTCTTCCTCCTCGAATTAGGCTTAGCTGAGGAAGAAAAAAGAAAATTAGAAGCTTTCTTGAGAAAGAAGATAGAGGTGTTCGCTTGGACACCCTACGAGATGTCAATGATCAGCTCCGAGATCACCTGCCACAAGCTCAATATGGACAGGTCGGCCAAACCTGTGGTCCAAAGAGCTAGGCGACCAACCATGGTTCATGTACAAGAAGTTGAAGAGGAAGTAAAGAAGCTGTTGGAAACCCAAGCAATCCAAAAAGTAAACTACCCAACGTGGTTGTCCAACACAATGGTAGTAAAGAAGAAGAGTGACAAATAGAGGGTCTGCGTAGACTTCACAAGCCTGAATAAGGCTTGCCCGAAGGACTGTTTCCATTTGCCAAAGATAGACCAGCTTGTGGATGCCACCTCTAGCCATGGAAGGATGAGCTTCCTCGATGCATACTGAGGCTATCATCAGATAGCCTTGTACGCTCCAAACGATGAGAAGACAACATTCATCACTCTAAAAGGACTCTACTGCTATAGAGTGATACCCTTTGGATTAAAAAACGTAGGGACAACATATCAGAGGCTAGTAACAAAGATGTTCACACATCTGATCGGAAAGATTGTAAAAGTCTACATCAACGACATGGTTGTTAAGAGCAAGGAACCTTCAGATCATTTAGCCGATATGAAAGATGTTTTTAATATCCTGAATGCATATCGGCTTCGTTTGAATGCCTCTAAGTACACCTTCGGAGTGGGATCTGGAAAATTCCTGGGATATCTAGTGACCAGAAAAGGAATTGAAGCAAGCTGTCACAACCCAAACCCGCCCCTATGGGTTAAGGCCATAACCGGCCAGTAATAACGAGATTACCTACGACCTCAAACCAAATAAGACAAAACTCATCAGAGTAAAGGGGCCAAACGGAAGCAAATTTAAAACTTTGTCCATAGAGCCGTGCTTATATGCACATCATAACCCTCCAAACATACATATGTTAATAACTCACAACAGAAAGTATAGTAACATAAAGTTCTATACAGACAGGATCATTCAAATCTAAGTCAGCCAAAACAAAGCTATATACAGACGTACACCAAAGTCCTCGCCAACATGACAAAATAACATAGCATGGCAGAAGGGCGAAGACGCGTCTCGTGCATGAGACACAAGGGCTGACTCTTCAAAACCTTAGTTGTTCCATATAGACTTCACTGGGGCTGTTTGGACTTCTCTTGGCTCACCTACAAACACATGAATGAGCGTGAACGATAGCCCAGTGAATAATATCAAATAAACGAGTTATACAAACGGTATGTAGAACAACATGTTTCAAACGGCCTTGGGCCCAATTTATATTTCTATTTAACTTATATATATACACAATTTAAGTCAAGTGACTGTGATTCCAAACATACTGACCTTTGGCCCATTTATCTTTCATTTGTCAAACTGGCCTTTGGCCCATTCAACATTCATTCGTATCAAACTGGCCTCTGGCCCATTCATTCATATCAAACTGGCCTCTGGCCCATTCATGTATATCAAACTGGCCTCTGGCCCATTCATGCATGTCAAACTGGCCTCTAGGCCTTTCAAACTTTCATATCAAACTGGCCATTAGGCCTTTCAAACTTTCATATCAAATTGGCCCTTAGCTCAAACACTTGTATCAATCGGCCTTTGGCCCAATCATTTGTGTCAATCAGCCTTCGGCCCAATCATTTAAGTCAATCGTCATCCACCATTCAAATTAATGAACTTATAAAACTTATATAGAGTAAACGATTGGACAACAACATATTTCAAATATCTCGTTAAGATATTACTCACAGTGATCAGCTTGTGGATTTGCCCTAGAGCTTGACCCTACACATCATATAACACATATGGGTCACAAATAATTCGATCCGTTCTTTAATTCACATATTCCTCTTTAGGCTTCATTCTTATCTCTTTAACTCAATTACAATGCTCAATGTATGCCTAAGAGTGCTTAGAAGTGAAAGGGAACGGAAAATGAAACACAGAATGTCTTTTCATAATTTCAGAAAACAGGGTCCCCGCTCGAACGGACCCAAGAGGCCTACAAAAGTACTGGCTATGCCGAATTTACGCTCGAGCGTGCATTCTGGCACTCGAGCGGAAGGCCTCTCTACATGGTTCCCCACTCGAGCGGACACCATGTCTGCAAAAAGTGCTGGGAGCACAAAATTCACGCTCGAGCGGCGGTTTCCCCGCTCGAGCGGACATCAAACTTTTTGGAAATTCCAGAACTGTTCTTGGAGTTCAATTTTGATGTTCAAGGGTCTCAACTCATGATTTCAGTCCCAAAAACATATAAACACATTATATTACGAGGGTACACAAACAATATGAAACTAATTCCTCAAAATCATGGTTCAATTCTCCAAAATCAATCATCATTCTTGTATAATCATGGTTTATGCTTTCAAATCCCATATGAGCTTCATATCTTCAAAAATCAAACATGCATGCAATCTTTTAACTCCAATTCCATTTCAAATAGGTCAAATGATGCTTCGACACATGAAATTCATCCAAATCATGCTTGCATGTAAATTTTGACTTCATTTCTGATACGAATGGTACAAATGATGCTCCAAATCATGAAGCTACACAAAACTACTTATGCATGTGAGATTTGGTGCTCTATTCTTCATTTTTAACATGCTACATGCTAAAACACCCAAAATTGTAACATTTATGCACATGCATGCATTCCATGACTTCAAATACAACAAAATCAACTCAATTTCCTTATAATGAATTTAATCCATGTTCTTGACCATTATTCAAACTTGAATTCACAAGATGATAACTTAAAATTCATGAATTCACTTACCTAGAGGCTTCAACACCTAACTCTAGCCAATTCTTGAGTTTAATCTTCAAATTCCCAAACCTTGAGCCAAAATTACACAATGCTCTCCATTTCTCTCTCTATATCCGGCCCTCTCTCTCTCTCTCGAGGCACAAAATCTGATTGTTGAGCTCAAGTATAGGAACTAAGTGTATAGTGCCCTTCTCCATAAATTCCCACTAGTCACAATTATTTAATATTAAACAATTTGAGCACTACACCACTAATTAATCTAATTAATCTGATCCGAATCAATTTTCAATTAAATTTCACCGTAGGCTCTAAAAATTATGCCAATCACAATGGCGTAATCAATTTCGGGTTCTGTGGCCGATAAGGCCTTCAATTTAATTCCCAAAGCAGATAAGCAAACAGATATTCCTACGGCGAACAGATAGAAATTCAAAATCACACATTGTCACATAATGGCACACAAAATCATATTAGACATATAATCAAACTCATAATAAGGACCAATTAGCTAATTACGAAACAGGGTTATCATATAAGCCTTGATCAGATCAAGGCCATCCTTAATCTAAAGAGCCCGACGACAACAAAAGAAGTCCAAGTTCTGACCGACAAGGCAGCTGCGCTGAACAAATTCATCAACTGGAGTTCGAATAAATGTAAGCCATTCTTCCAGCCACTAAAGAAGGCCACAGACTTTTTCTGGATGGATGAATGCAAAGTCGCTTTAGCCGACTTGAAGAGGTATTTAACAACCCCACCAGTATTGTCAAATCCGGTTCCAGAAGAGGATTTTTTCTTATATTTGGCAGCCTCAGATCACACCGTTAGTGACGTGGTTATCAGAGAATAAGAAGAGGGGTAGAAGGTGGTGTACTACATTAGCAAGACCCTAGCAAGCGCAGACATGAGGTACTTACCTTTGGAAAAACTAACACTCGCCCTGGTAATGGCATCGAAGAAATTGAACCTCTACTTTCAAGCTCACAAGATAGTGATGCTCACGAAGCACCCACTAAAATCCCAACTGCAACATGGGGACTTGACAGGTAGAGTAGCACAATGGGCGGTGGTTCTAGGTCAGTATGACATAGAATACAGACCAATGACAATAATCAAAGGTCAGGTTTTGGCCAACTTTGTTGCTAAGTTCACACCGAACACAAACCCGAAGCCTAGACTAGTAAATCTCGGCCTAGGATGCATAGAAAAAGCACAGTTGATACCACAAAAACCCATGCTAGTAGGAAAAAAGAAAAACCAAGAAAAACTAAAGCCTTGTGACATCAACATCGGTGAGTCCTTCCGCCTCTTTGTTGATGGCAGTTCAAATCGACAAGGAGTGGGGACAAGGGTAGTACTGGTCTCACCAGATGGACAGATGATAAAATAGTCAATCCGACTGGGGTTCTAGCCTTTAATAATGAAGCAGAATATGAGACACTGATTGTAGGATTGAAATTAACAATGGTTGTCAAAGCCGATGAGGTAGTGGTATATTGTGACTCCCAACTCATCGTGAACCAAGCGATGAGAGAATACGCAGCCCGAGATGAGAGGATGGTGGCCTATATCAAAGAGGTTATTAAGTTACTAGCACAATTCTAGAGTTGTCAGGGTGTAACAAGTCTGCAGAGAAGACAACAACTATGCAGACACCTTGGCTAACCTTGTCAGTGCCGTAAAGTTGAATATGCCAAGAACGATAATGGTAGACTATTTATCAGGCCCAAGCGTGGAACCCCTAATAATAGAATATAAGACAATGTGCATAGAGCTGGTGTCACGGCCCAAACTCGCCTCTATGGGTTTAGTACCGTAACCGGCCAGTAATCCGAGATTACCGAAGGCCTGCTTAACAGTAATACAGTAATACAGAGTACATGTGCTGGCGGAAGCCAAAACTGTAATTAAAAGATGTCCAATGAGCTGTGACAGTCTGTATGCAAAAGACTTTTCATATATATACACATTCATAACAGAACAGTCTATACATACATGTACAATATATACAATCATTCAGGACAGGGACTTAATCCCTATTAGAACAGTACAGTACAACACCATTCAGTTTATACAGTAATTACAGAACAGATATAAAAAGGGGGAAACTAAAACACCCCAAAAGCCCTAGCTTGACAGGCTCGGAATCTCGCAGTGCGGCACAGTGGTTGGCTTTGACAAAGGGAGTCTAACCCACGCTCCTAGCTCCGGTCTGGTGCCTAAACACCTACATATATATATGAGCAGTGAGCTAAAGCCCAGTGAATAACATAATGCATAAAGAGGTTAAGAATGAATGTTCTTTTAGTATTGAAAACAGTTAATTGATTCAGTGTATCAGTCATTCAGTCATAACAATCATATATGGTACATCCATTAGTAGAACAATACAATAAACAGTAGGTCTTGAAAGACCGAACAGTCAATGATGGCCATCATAACAGTAAACAGAAGTTCCAAAATAGGAACT